TTCAAATACTTCAATATTGGGATTAGTTACTAGTTTGAATTTAATATAAATTTATATTTTTTAGGAATTAGTTGAAATGTGCTCTTACCCTTTAATAGGTTTTTGTTCACATAACCTATTATGTCTATCGCTTGTCAAAAAGCGTTCACCATCTTTGGTTTCAAGTTACAAGATATCTAGTTACAAAAGTCTTGTTTTGTACATCTCTTTAGCAAAGATTTCTTCCAACAACTTTCAAACTTTATAACTGTCATGTTCTTGAAAAATATGATTGATGAACTTAGAATATATTCATTTTCTAATAGCAGATGTGTCTTTTCTAGTTATTGACTTTCATTTTTTTCTCTTTCATATCGACATGCATCTTTCCTTTGCACTCAAACGACAAAGCCAAATCATCATAGTAAAGGTGATCCTTCATCAATATTTTCTATAGGAGATAATTAAAAAAAATAAGTTTTATCGGATGTGAATCTTTTTTTTTCCATTTTACTATATAGAAAAAAAACAATCTTCAAAACCTAAAGCTATAATACTACTATGTTGGAAAAAAGTATATGTACAAACCAAAATTCCAAACCACAAGTTTCAATTTTTTTTCTTTATGCAATTAAAACTAAGACCAACCAATCCATAATAATTAAGACAAAATAAATAAACACAACCACAATCAATACGTGGAACTTTTACATGAAAATCCCGATATAGGAAAAAAATATAGGACTATAGTCCACTCAAACACTTTCTACTTTATGAAATAATGGAATACAAGATTTTTTCTTGACTCAACTACAAGATACATATCAAAATATCAAATTCGTCATCACAAAATGAATTTCAACAACAAAAACAACAAAATTAAATCTCACCTAATATGTTTTTAGAAAATATCAAAAGGTGAAAGTTTTTTAATGATCAACACTGTTTAAATTAAAAACTCATCACTAGAAACAACATATCAAAATTTTATTTTAATTGGGTTTGAAATTACCATCTCATCAAGAAAATAAAGATGAGGAGCAACATTTTTCTCTCTCTCCCTCTCTCTCTCTCTGTACAACAAAATTTCGCTTCTTTATTTATTTGTTTTATTGACCAACTCGGCTTTTGGTTTGAAGATGAAGTAAAAGTCACTTACGTGACTTTTACAATGGTCAAATATAATTTCTATCTGTCTATGCATGATTTCTCTCTGTCCATGCATGAGTTTTGGACTCCCCATAAAAATTAACAAATCGCAACATATTTTCCTTTGAAAGCCATGGTCCTTTTTCATCTTTTTTTTTTTCCTAATCAGTGGGAATCCCTCTTGCTCAAGCGGCTTAGTATCTCCCTCCTCAAACAGCAAGAGTGATTTTTATATTCTTTCATCCTGTACACCATAAAAAGAATACTCTTTCATTAGTGATAGGGAGTAAAGCCATGATCAGGTTTGGTTCCCTTTTCTGATCAATTTTAGAATAAAATAACTCGTTAGCATTAACAAAGATTATTGCTTCCCTAGCAAAACTAATCTGCGTACATGTACATGTACTGAAGGAGCAACCATACCGATCCATGGCATAACCTGATAGAATATACTGCTTGGTGATTACGGCTTGTATTCTAATCCCCAGGACTCCATGTCTTTTTCCCAGTTGTATACATAATTGAACTAGGTAAAACACTACATTTGGATGTGATTTTTCCTTTTTGCTGACATAATTTATATATATATTTGTGTTTGATCCTTAACGTTGATCAATTCACTTGGTTTATAGATATTTATTAGAGATTTTGTTTCTTACTAAGGCTCGGTTTGTTTGGCGGAAAACGACTTCCATAAGAAAATCAATTTACGAAGAAGCTATTTTACAAAAAATTATTTTCTAAAAAAATATTTTTTACCGTTTGGAAATTACATGAAAAACTGCTGAAAATATATATTTCAACATTTGTTTGATACAGAAAATTAAAATATAAAAATAGTATGTGATTGTTATATTAACAAGTTTTGAGAAAACTTTCAAAAAACATATTCACAATTTCACAATATAAGATACATTTAGAAAAATTTAATAAATTTTCATAAATACTAAATCTAAAATTTTAATTCAAAAAATAAAATATACTTTTTTAACTATTAAACCAATTCATCAAAATTACTTGGGATAAAATCAAGTCAATATTCACATTTGTTTAAAAAAAAAAAAATTCTAAGTAATCCTAGCATTGTTATTTTGGTAACTCAATTAAGAATTATTATTATTTTGAAAATTGAACTGATAATTTAGTCCAAAAAATAGTTTTATAAATTATTAGTTATCATTGTAAATAACTAATTATTAATCATTTGGCTTCAAAAGATTAATGTTGGAATAATTTATAACTAATTATTCACTATAATTACCAACAAAATTTTACAACATATTAAAATTATAAATTATTGATTTAATTGTAAATAAATAGTATTGAAAAAATAATGTATTTATTAATGAATTAATTTTAATTTTTTTATAAAAAAAATTACAGTTTTGTAATAATCATTTCCAATCATTTAAGTATAGTTTAGGTGGTGTTGAGATAATAGTTAAAAAAATAGAGATAAATTATTAAAATATTATTACAAAAATAATTTTAAGGTGTAAAAATGGTTTTTAAAAATATTTGATGTATTTATAAATCAAAAAATCAAATATTAGTAGAAATAGAGAAAACAATAACTAAATAATTAATAATAATTGATAAGGAATAATTAAAAATTAATTTGATATATTTTAAATAAAAAGAAGATAGAGAAAAATATTGTTAAAATATATCGAGAGAGAGGTAAGTAACATGAGAGCGAGATAGCTCGTGAGAAGAAAAAGGTTCTCCTCTTTTTAAACTAGAAAAAAAAATTCAAAAATACTCTATCTTTTTTGTTGATCGGAAATCATTTTTCGTTGACTTTTTTCCTAAACGTAAAACAAACACTGAAAAATTAGAAAAAATAAGTTCCCGGAACTTGTTTTTCTCCAAACAAACACAGACCTAAAATAGGCAAAACCTCGAAAAAGTGTAGCCTTTAGTTACAACAATTAATTTTTGGGAAGCATGAGCAACACTCAACGGCCACGTGGCTAGTGGACTAGTAATAACTATTTTATGGTAAGCCATGTTATTAAGAAATTTTATAATACTCAAAAGAGTAATTATTGTATATGTATAATAGTTATTCCATGAGCTCACTATATAAAGAGCAATAAACATAAATAAATAAATAAATAAAGGAGAGAGAAAATTAAAAAAAAAAGAGCCAACATGGAAATTTTTTAATCATTTTTTGTGGATTTAGATTTTTTTTTTTTTTTGTGTGTCACTCTCTTTCTTCAAAAATTGAGCTCATGAAGTAACTACCGTATATGTATAATAGTTATTTCTTGAATATTATAAAATTTCTCCATGTCATTAGCAAGTTAACTAGCAATAGGTCAAACAATTAAGACGTGATTCTTAATAGAGGTGATCATTTGTATTTTTGATTTGGTTTTTAATATTTTGGTTTCGTTTTTTATTAATCAAACTCACAAAAAATTCAAATCTGAATTGAATTACTATTTGGTTTTTTATTTTTTCAAATCGAGATTTTGGTTTTCAAGTTTAGTTTTTTGGTTAAAACTAATTTAAAAAAAAAATAATGTAAATAAGCTAAAAAAATTGTTGTAAACTATAGAGTTATTTCTCTAGCCCAAATGGTCTAAATGCCCTATATAAAAGATAATAAATATTTATTTAAATAAGATTAAACAAAAACTATGTCACATATCAAATTTAAATACAAGTCCACTAATCTATATATATATATATAATATATAATGATAAAAAAAAATTAATTATTTAAACATGTAAATTAAACTACCAAAATCTTTTTTTAAAAAAAATCAATTTTTAATAAAATTCAAATTAAAAATTTCAAAAACCGAACCATGCCAAACTAAAAAACCAAAATAAATTGGTTCATTTTTTTTAATTTTAAATTAAAAATCAAATCAAAATTGATATTTTAATTCGTTTACTTTTTGAAGTTCTTATCACTTATATTCACATTATAGTGATTTCATTTTCTTGTTATCATTTTTCTTCGATTCTCTTATTATTTCTATTTATTTTATAACAATTTGATCTCTTTTCATCAATTTTTTTAGGTGTATGCTCACTTGTATATTGTGAAATGTTGATCTATCTTTCTCCAAAGTGTAAGGTAATTCAATTCAGGTGTTATTTATTTCTATTCTATAATTTTCTCATTCTCTACTTAACACTCCAAAAAAGTATTTTGTTTGTGGTCCTCTTTCTTTTAAATTTCCCTATAGAGACAGACTGAGAATTCAAATCTAGAATCAGTCTTTAGGAGTCAACGCACGTGGTTCACGAACATGCAATTTAATAATATTCTCTCTAGCTACTGTGGTTGGCCACTTCCTTAATGGCTAAGACGCTGGAGACCCGTGTTTTCTATAACTTTGAGACTCCTTTTTGAGGGTCCATGCATGTTAGATTATCGTACATAATGGGTTCGGAGAAACAGTAGGACTTCTTTATCCTATTTTTCTTGGAATCTTCTAATTAAAAATCCATTAAATTTTTTTATTAAATTTTTACAACTAAAAGAAAGATTCTTATAATAAGCTACAGATACCTGCATTCTGCAGTAGCCAAAATTAAAGGCAAAAAGTTGACTCGTAAGCTTATGAAGGTGCTAAGAAATAGCAAGGATGCTTCTCATTGCTATATAAAAGCATACAAACTGATTAGCATTATTGTTGAACTCGAAACTCTCAAAAGAATAAAAAAACAAAAACAAAAACAAAACTACTATGATTATGATACTTGAATCCCAAATTACTTTCTTGCTATTGCTAACGTTTCAGTCAGCAACAGCATTTGTACCAGCTCCTATAGCAAAATCAACTTGTACAAAATACACGTGCGGAAATATTAGTATTCCGTACCCTTTCGGGATCGGAAAAGATTGCCACATGGAGGAATCTTTTAACGTTGAATGTGATGAAACTTACAGTCCGCCTAGAGCAATTTTAAGCAGCGTCAAAATGGAGTTGCTCGAATTTTCAGCTCTACACAGTGATGTTGCTGTCAAAGTACCAGTTATATCCAAATTCAATTCTTCTGGTGGGGAGGAGGGTGCGCCTCTGAATTTGACTGGAACCCCTTTCTTCTTTTCCTCAGACAATTATTTCTTTGCAGTGGGTTGCAATACTCGTGCAATGTTTTGGACTGGTCACGGATCTGAACATATGGGCTGCGACTCAATCTGCTTAGACGGTAGTTTCAATATTTCTGATTGGGCAGAAACCAATGGCGCCAGTTCTGGTAATGAAGACTGTCGGGATATAAGCATTCCTTTCAAACTTCAGGATTTTAAATCAAGTTTCGAGCCCAAAGATGGAAAACAAAGAATTAAAGGGCCTAACCAGGCCTTCTTAGTAGCCTATGGGTTTGAAGACAACATAAAGAGTCAGCTAGAAATGAAGAATTTGACAAGCATGCCAGTATCGCTGAGTTGGATGCTACCGAAGGGCAGATTAAAATATGACAACGTTACCATGAAGTGCTATTTTCAGCCCATAAATAGCACGACTTTTACGTCTCACGGTTGTTCTTGCTCAGATGGCTATCAGGGCAACCCTTACCTTGAATGCATAGGTATCATTTTCCCTACAAGACTATATATATGGGCCTTTTGTAATTAATGTTATTCTTGCTAGCTGTTAGAGTTATTGTTTTATTTTATTTATTTTTTTTTGTTTGCTCTCATCACCCGTAAGTGGAAGTTTAAAACCATTAGCTATAGCCTATAGGGCCAATTTCTTGGCACCATGGGACGTGATAGACTTGCAACAAGGAGAGGGTATTTGATACTGAATTGATAAGGCATGTATGATGTATCTACGGAATTCATACTAGCTAGGGAACTATTTGGTGCTGTGAGTAATAGATAAGAAATAAATTGTATTTAATTGCCTCCTACGAGACTAGTACTCTAGTATTATTCAAGTAGTATTGAATATATCTGTATTATTAATTTATTCAAAACACTTTTGTTCATAGATAGGTGTGCGCTTGAATTTTAATCATTTATTTTGGTCTCTTTATGTAATTATAGACATCGATGAATGTGAAAATGGAACTGTTTGTCATCGATGGACAAGATGCGTGAACACAAAAGGATCGTTCAAATGCGAACTTGATGCATTTCGAATTATCATTTTAGGTGTGTTTCTCTTCTCTCTCATTATTTTTATTTTATTTCTTATATTTTTAATATCATTAGATTATCTACGTATTGTTTGAATTTATGTGAAATTTTAAATTAAATATATTTTTTTAACACCATATTCTTCCAATACAATCAAATCAATTGATTGATGACGACTATAAAGATCTCTTAACAAACAGACCGTTATTAATAAAAATAAAAATGTTATGGTACATCAACTGGTTTCCTAGAATCATATTATTTTAAGAGATAATCCTTTGGTTCATTTCTAGGGAAAAGTAAATTACCTTTGGTCAATGTTTCTCGTTACTAAGAAAATGTGCCAAATCAAGATAATTGATAACCTTTCATTTTCTAGTCAGTTTCATATATCAATTGAAGTCAAATTCCCTTGCGTATGGCAAAAATTCAAACTTTTATTTTTTTAACATAAAAACTCAATTGTCCGGTCATATGAAGTAAATTATAAGTTAGTTCTTCTCATTTTAAAAAATAAATAAATAAATTTTTTATTTTAAAAATTAATTATTTAATCTTTTAACTAGTATTCATCATAATTAATTTGATATTAATTTCTTTCTAAAAATATTTTATTTTCTGACCAATCTTTCTGTATTTTTTACTCATTTTTTTATTTTTAAAATAAAAATTCAGAATGAATTAAAAAAAAAAGAATTACAAGTAGATTTAGAAATATAAACATTAAAATAAAAAATTTAATTAATTCATTTTTTGAAATTAAAAGAAATAATTTTATAATTTACTCCGTCGTAGGATGCATAAAATTTACAGAAAGTGGAAGCAATGACTTACTTTGGCCTACTTTTTTCTTTTTCTTTTTTTTAAATATGCGAAATTGATTAAAAACAAAACGTAAGAAACATTGACTTTTCACTGCAAATATAGGATAAAAGATATATAGAAGTTATTTGTAATTTGTCATGTCAGGTACAAATTTTAAATAGAAGGAAATTAAGTTCATATGGTAACCTTTATTTTCTTCTAGCTGAGAAAAAATAGTACGTAGACTATTAATCCATTTTTCAATACAAAATAATCAAACATCAGACTGAAAACCCATAATATTAGCCACCCTTATTATAATCCAACAATCGCATGCACATGCTAAGGCTTGTTTTTCTTTTTGTTTTTTTCTTAATACAGTTGTAGGTCTGGTGCTTGGAGTATTGTTGTTGCTCTTTGGTGCTTGGTGGACATACAAACTTATCAAAAAACGAAAATGCATCCAGTTGAAAAAGAAGTATTTCGAAAGGAATGGTGGTCTATTGTTGCAACAACAATTATCCTCAAGTGAAGGTAGGGTTCAAAAGACAAAAATATTCAGTTCAAAAGAGTTAGAAATGGCAACCGATCGTTTTAGTGAGACGAGAATACTTGGTCAAGGTGGCCAAGGCACCGTTTATAAAGGAATGTTAGCAGATGGGAGAATTGTTGCAGTTAAGAAGTCCACACTAGTAGATGAAGAAAAGTTGGAAGAATTTATCAATGAGGTTGTCATTCTTTCGCAAATCAATCACAGAAATGTGGTTGGGCTGCTAGGATGTTGCTTGGAGACTGAAGTTCCTCTGCTGGTATATGAATTCATTCCTAATGGAACTCTTTTCCAATATCTTCATAACCAAAACGAGGACTTCCCATTATCATGGGAAGCAAGACTACGAATTGCCACAGAAGTTGCTGGTGCAATATCCTATCTGCATTCGGCAGCATCTATTCCGATTTATCATCGCGACATTAAGTCCACAAACATACTCTTAGATGAGAAATATAGAGCTAAAGTATCAGATTTTGGAACTTCAAGATCAATCTCCATTGATCAAACTCATCTGACCACTCGTGTGCAAGGTACTTTTGGCTACTTGGATCCTGAGTATTTTCAATCTAGCCAATTTACAGACAAGAGTGACGTTTATAGTTTTGGAGTAGTTCTTGTGGAGCTCTTAAGTGGACAAAAACCGATTTTTTTAAGCAATTCACAAGAAAACATGAGCTTAGCTACTCACTTCATTGATTTGATGGAAGGAAATAGACTCTTTGATGTTCTTGATGCTCAAGTACTGGAGGATTGCACTGAAGAGGAAGCTGTTGACATAGCTAATCTTGCAAAGAGATGTTTGAATTTGAATGGAAGAAGCCGACCAACAATGAAAGAAGTTGCAATGGAATTGGAGGGGATTCTACTGTTACGAAAGGATATCATGGGTGAAGTAAACGTGGTGATAATTTAAGAATACCTATCTCACAAGATCTCTCGATGTCTTGATGAGAGGGGAGACACTAATGTTAGTTGAGCTGCTGCTCATTAGCATATATTTCTTTTTGTTTTTAAGACTGTTAGAAGTGTTTTTGATTGCGTAACAACTTATGTTTGTGGATTTAGATCCTGCATGTTCTTAAAAAATAATGACTGATTATGTTCTAAATTTCATCATTTATTTTGAATTTAATGATTTAGATTAGATGAAAGAAATAAAATATTAAGAAGTTAAAGTTGTTTTTTTTTTAATCATATATATTATATCATTACCATTCAATTTAAATTCAATCATTTAAATTTAACAACCATGATAGTAGGAACATGAGAGGATCTCAATCTTGTGTTTATAATAAGTAATTCTTTATGCATTAATACTAGTTTCTTTTTTCTTTTTTTTAATACATAATAATTAAATTGTGTCGTCCTTCATTTCTTTTTATTTTTTTCTGACAACATCAAGGAAATTGTTTTAGCACATGTTTTTAATCTTGTATACTTAGAAAGTTGATACCATACTAATGGATTTATGTTGGTTACAAGATGTGGAAAGACTTTCTTAATTTGATCGATTAGCATTGCAAGCCATTTCTCTATCCTCAGAAAACTTAAGCAATCAAAGCCATTATCAGTCAGTAAAGATTTCTTTATGGAAGTATTTAGTCTCTTGAATCCTCTGGTGCCAACAAGCTGATGAGATTCTGCAAACTTCAATGAGGATACTGATTGGTTTTAGATATGATTTTCTATTTGATTCTGAGCAACATTCGAATTGTAAATGGATCACGGTGGGAATACAGGCAGGAGACAACACTGATCAACCAAAGCACAAAAATTGTAAAGAATGCAGGTAAAGCAAAAACAGAGTAAAGTGCAGAGCAGTGTGCAAACATGGAGCTTCTAAAACAGCATAACAGCAGGAACATGGATTTTTCAACAGAAGGAACAATCGAGGTAAAGTAGCCAAAACAAGCAATTATGATAGGATAAAATAAGCACTAAAAAACAGACAGATCATCAGATAAGCAGAAGATAAAAGCAGACGGTATTAACATCAATTATAGTTGATAGCATAAAAAACCACAATTCAGAGTAAGGATAGAAGCACTAGATCGCTCTGAAACAAAAAACTTCAAAGCAATCTGTCTCACATTAGCATTTTGAAATAGTATGGAGATAAAACTAAACGATCTTGGAATTCTTAAAAACTACACCTTGATTTCAATAGTAATTATCAAATTAAAATCTTCATTAACGGAAGCAACAACTGATTAGACCCAAAAGAAATTTTATAACCATTTTCATTTAGAGTTCTGCTTATGGTTTCATCACTGTGATGCCTAACGAAGAAACCCTAAGCTCAGCTAGAAAAGTAAAATACCTAACACAGCTTTCTAAGTTCTGTGATCGCTGGGCTAAGATAGGTCAGTCAATTTGGTTAAGGTTGTCACTTTTTTGTGTCCGAAATTTGTTTGGTTTATGATAGATCACCCCTTCAACTATTGCAACTCTTTGTTGCATTCAGATAACTACCTCACTCTGGCTAATGTTAACTATCGGTCGGCAAGAGATGTAATTTTTCCAACGATTATTGGGGTCAATTTCATGCCACCTCTGCTACTGGTGATAATCAATGCAGTATGAACATCTACTTTATAAGAATTAATGACATATTGTCTACCTGTAGGACTGTCTAAGCAAAGTTGTTGTGGCTTAAGTGCCTAGCTAGCTAGGATTATTACTATTGTAGGCTTTTATCAGTACTCTTTCTGACAAATCAATACGAAATCGCGCTTTAAGGCAAAACTTGAGTTGATCCAAAACAAATCAAAATATACAGCTAATGAAGAAAACTATAAGCATAAATCAAGGAACTTAGAAACCGTTTTAAATACAAAAAAACCTTGAAAATACTTTATTGACCTGAGGCTCCAACTCCATATGCCATTCGTTCACCAGGATTAGAGGTAATTCCCGTTAATATTTTAGATGTACACTCGAACCTTAGCTAGCCTTCACATAGTCCAAACAAACATCATTCCCTCGTAGCCATTCAAAGTTTCAATATCAAGTTTAAGCATAAGATTCCTTAAATCTCACGAATGTTTGTAGAGTTAACAGACTATCAAATTCTGTCCGGTGCCTACTTTCAATTCCTTTTACGTTCAATAACTTAGCCACCCTCTCTCCAATCTACTGTGCAAACCACTAATAATTCCATCATGAATTTTGTATCATAAACTCGAACTCCAAAGAAAAAACTTAGGAGCCCGTTTAGTTATTGAAGAATTTCTTAAAACAAGTCCAGAACTCAAAACCAACCTTGCAAAATCTGAGGAATCAATACCCTTCTCTCTGTTCCTCTTGAAATCAATACCTTGGCATTCAAGTAAACCAATAGACTTCAGTGTGAGGATCATGCATGATATCGAAATCCTGGAAATTAAACTGCCACACGTAATGGAATTCTATTCTGAAACTTAAAAGATATCCTTGTGAATCAAACAGTCATCCCAGGTTGAATTATTTTCAATAGATCAAAATTGTACTTCATGACACGGTAGTTTTTAGAAGCAGGGGCTTGAGATGGCAAACTCTTGTCGAGAGTTAATTGAAACAGAGTGCCAGGGAATTCGGTATCCAAAGCAACCAAGGTGAAGTGAGAGATTGCTTCCTTGATTAGAAAAGTCTCATATACGAGGTTTCTGCCCAGACTTCGCACACCTGTACTGGTTTGCTGCTCATCATCGTTGACGCCGTTGTGCAACTTCAATGGCTTCGGTTGTCAAGTTATAGCCAAGATCAGAAAGCGTTGTCCAAAGTTGATGTGGAGTATATGGAAACCTTGTTTCTTCTGGTTTCACATCCTCGGTTTCCTGCCCTGGGAAGGATTGTCCACTTGTCTTAATGGAATACTACTTTCAATGTCTTAGATTAAGCCTGTTTATAGTTGCAAAAACCTCTTTATAGACTAATTAAGGAGTCCTTGACCACTAAGATACTCTGCCTGGCCTAAGATTCAATTAGGGAGGGATTAGCGGCGTGATGACATCCTAAATTCCTAAAACATAAAAGTAAGACAAAACACAAATTGCATGTGTTTATCGTTCGCTTCCAGGAAATAAATGATCCACCAAACCAAGAAAAATTGTTCTTTTCTGTAACAAACAAGGACTTTGTTAAATCAAGAAGACGAATCCTTGTTCTCAACTGTAACAAAAAAACAAATTTCTGGTTCAGCGGATGTATTTTCGTCAAGCAATCCTAGACTCAGCATTTTGTCAAACTATTGATGTTAACAAATAACTGACGCTCAGCTGTTATTTTCTAGTTTATATCTTCAGTTGTTTGGACACCAATTATTCATAGAGCAGATATTATTTGAAGATGGGCAAATTAAAAGAGGTCTATTGATCCGCTTTTTGCTAGCAACCAAGCTGATGAAATAAGAATCTATTTGTGAATTGGTTAGAAGTTCTGCATAGATGGTAAATTAACAGGCAATTGGTAGCTGGGGATTAGGAAATTGATCGAGCAATCCAGAACTTACAGAAGAAGTCTTTTTCTCTAACCTCATAATTTCATGGTGCGCCTGCCTATGCTTTATCTGTAAACAAAGAAACTCTAGATGTCATAACTCCGAAGTTTCCCCCGCTAACAGCATTTCTCAGGCAATTCTTTTTACTGTCAAACATAAATGGCAGAAAACTGCACTTTGTCAAGCAGCTATCTTTCAAGAAACTGGCTTTCTATCTATTATAATTGGGAACTAGTCTGAACATGTGGCTTGTTTCTTTTTGTATAGCTTTGTAGCAGATCGATCCAGCTTCTCTTTCATTGAATAATGGATTGATACATCAAAAAATTTATGGTACATATAAACTAAATTTAGAAAATGGAAAACATAATTTAGCCATAAAAGAAATCACCTAAAGTAATATTATAATAACAATGAAGAATTATCATTGGATGTGATTAAAATTTTTCCAGACAAATTCTGGTACATCATCATGTATACAACAGTCAAGCTCAAGCGTGAGACAGAAAATACACTACCAAGAACTGATTTGACTGTCATCCATGCGCTAGAAAAATTTGAGTTTTCCATTGCCTACAGAATCCTTTGCCAGCTCCAAACGACACAATGCCTTTTTGGTTCCTGTCAATCCAGAACATGTTTCAGTGGCCCCTAGAGTAACAGCGAAGTAGAGATAGATTGTGCATAGGAAAGCCAAGAGAGCCAAAGCTGTTAAGAGAAAACGATGTCTCTGAAGGAGTGTTGACCAGCTACCCAACTCATCCCGTGGGAATTGCTTCCGGAAAGACGATGATTTCCGGTGAGGAGACGCTATCATTGTATCAAGAACCATAGCTTATATTCTGAGCTTCCTTGGATAACCTGAAAATATCCCAATTTCAGTGATTAGGGAAACTATAACCTATCTTCACTCTACTATTTAACTCTGGCATCATTAAAAGGCTTTTGGGCGAGCAGCGATATAGCAAGAACTGCTAAGCTAAAGCATGTTAGAAAAAAATTGAGATATTAAGACATTGTAAAGACATCGCCAGATGTGAGAGAGAAAATAACGTGGAAATCAATCTTGCACCGGAAAGTAATCAGCAAAGTAATCAATCTTGCACTAACAAGAAAACAACATGGATATCAAGGACATGCCATCATTCAACACCGTGAGCTCAACAAAACATCTAAGTTACAATGCAAGTAAAGAAAATCATCTAAGAAGATGATTATTTGCAACTAATCTAATGCAAACCATGACATAGGACAAAGGCATCCAGTCATACACCATTTGGAAATACCATTCATGCAACTGCTATATAAACAAAATCATTTGGCTGGAAGCTCTAAACAAGTATCTACAGGATCCAAATCTACAAAGCAGTGAAAAGAACAATGCACACATGCCACAACTCCCACAAGTTATATCTTCATCTTCGGTTGATAATCTCTATGGTTAATGTTGACACTCACAGAAAAGATCATGAAACTAGAAGGGAAACCTATCCTGTAAAGGATACCCTACCTAAGCACTTTAACAGACAAAGAGCTTACGCAGAAAATTGTTCAGACAATAACCAAGTATCAACATTGAAAAATCGACCGGACCACAAAGGTTCATTTATAACAAAGACTTATTAAAGATAGTCAACAATGACCATATATCAATGAACAATGAACTTATCCTCAATGAAGTAATAATGAGTCCATTAGCAACGCAGCTGTGTGTAGAGCAATGATTGTGGATTGGTGTTGATTGCACAAGCAACCACACACTGAAATGAGTCATAAGACAGCATAAAAACAGGAAATATATGCAATCGCACATAATGCATGACGATAGATCCAATTCCAATTTATCATCAGTCCACACCAAGTAACAACAATCAGCAATTACGATTTAAGAAGCACCAATATACATATCAAAATCAGCATCCATAAAAAGCAGATCCTTTACTTATGCCCAATCGGTAAAGGAAACAGGATTAAGAATCAAAGTCATATTTTGCACATAGATGAACCATCTAAGCTCATCCCATCCAATTTGATTTGAATAAATTTCACATCGGGAAGCTACCTAAGGTTCAAATTCTTCAAGACTTATGATATTTCAGCTAAGCCCTTTTGATTTCTTTCTCTTCCTTCCACCCAGATACAGTATAAACAAAACAAACAGCTCCCAATAAAAAAAAATCTATAATAACCCGCATCCAATCAAATAACAAAACACCCATCTTACAATCGAACACAAAGCTCAAAATTTCACATTCATAAAAAAATAAAATAAAGACAACCCATCATTAGCGCATTCATAACAACACAAAACAAAAACCAAAATCAGGAAATATCAATCAGATCTGAAGAAAGAAATCAAAAAGAAAGAAACTTACAGGTAAAGAAGATCAACAAAATCAGGTAAGAGCAGCTTTAGCTTGTTTCTCTTGTTGAAGCTTGTATCTTTTTGCGTTATAACAATAATAATGTCTGGTTTCTTCTCCGTTTCTCTCGGCCAAAAAAGAGAGAAAAAGAGAGAGATGGAGGGGCAGAACGTCCACGCTATTCCCTTCCCTTCCCTTCTCTTCCCTTCGCTCCCCACAACTAGGCCAAAAATGAAAGCATAGATTTGGTTTTCTATATAGTACTAAAAAATAATAATAATAAATAAAAAGATTGCTCTTACATTAAAAGTAAGTGAGAGACCAGCAGATTGCGCGTTAACGGGACTTGCGGGATTGATGTGAGAAATTTTATAGTGACTGATGTTGTTGGTTTTATAAATGTCATCAGTTGGGCCAGCTAGTTATGGCTCGTCGAGTAAATTATAAATTAGTTTTTTCAGTTTTTAGAAACCAAAAATTAATCCTTATTTTACAAATTAATTTTTTTTTCATTTTATGCTTTTTTTTCAATTTATTTTTTTGTTAAAAAATAAAAAATAAAAAGATAAATATTATGAAAAGATTTATAAGAAAAAACATTTTTAAAATAAAATAATATTAAATTAAATATGATCAATATTAATTAAAAAAATTAAAAAATTAATTTTTTTTAAAAAATAATTAATTAACTTCGTTTTCTAAAACTAAAGGAACTAATTTATAAATTACTCTGATTTTTTTTTCTTTCTTTTAGTAAGTTGCCGTTTGGAAATATCAAGGGGCGGAAAATGAGTCAAAACAAAACAACAAGTGCTCCTCCATGTTCCTAAGCTGGGCCAGTACGTGGAATGTTAAAACTAATTAATACGACCAAATCTAACTATACTCTTGATTTTAGATTGATGGTTTAAATTTTGGTCACATTAATACCAAAAATTTGGTCTTTGATTAGAGAGATTTGTTACATTTCTCAGTCGGTATTAAAGAGATTTGTGTTTTTTTTTTTTTTTTTTTTATGAACTCAAATCTTGAAAGGTCAATATGTAAGAGAATTTATTAAAAAAAAAAAAATTGAACACATAAAATCGATGCAATATTTTGAAACTATCTAAAAAAATTAATTTTAATTGATGTACAAAAAAACTAGTCTTAAATTATCCTTATTGTTAAAAAAAAAAAAAAAAAATTGTAACAACAGGTTGGTTATTCAAATCACTTCTTTCTTCTGAACTTATTTAGGAAGCCTTTTTTAGTATGGAAAATGAGTTTAAGATATAAACCTCAACCAACAAGCATTTCATACGGAATATTACGTATTTTATGTCCATGTATTTAAAAAAATTCTTATCATATTTATATAAGGTCATAATTTAAGATACTTTTATGGAAAGGATTAGTCTGTTGAATATAAATATGTTATTTTTCTAAAAAATTCACATTAACTCAAGTCGAATAATTTTTTTTTTTTTTACTATCTAACTTCAAGCCCTTGAAGGCGACAAAATATATAATTTTAGTATATTTATAGTGGTTTAAATATTACTGTAATCGATAAAATAATGTAATTGATAGTATATTTATGTAAGGAAAAAAAATGATGTCTTGTTACTATCTTATGAATAAGAAAAAAATGCTATAAAGAAAAGTAAGCGAAGTCCATATGTTGTTTATAAAATTAAAATGTTTAGAATGTGTTTGATTATTATGTAGAAAATACTTTTTGAAAAAATATCTTCTTTCATTTTATTGTGTGAAACAAATACCGTAAAATAAATCAAAGGAAAATATTTTTAGTCAACTTCTAAATAATGCTTATTTAAAGGAAAATATTTTAAACTCGAGAAAAAAATATACTTTTTAATACTACTAAATTACAATATTTATCACATCATTTTTTAAACGAGTGTACTTTTAAATCTTATTTACAAAAATAAGGTTATTTTAATCTTATTTATTAAAATAAGGTAGTTTTTGCCATGTAGATAAAATCACCTACACTTGTTAGTTTTTCTTAATACTAAATTCACTAATAATTTTATAAAATTTTAGAAATAAATATCATTTGTAATACACTCATTTCGTTAATTATGATTATCAAATAAAATCGGATACTAGTAGACTCGATCCCACCGACTCATCAACAAGATCCGAAACAATTGCTCTAGTAAAGCCAAAATAAATAAACCTTCAAGAACCAATAACTTCATTAGCAATCTCTCTTTGATTCTTGAACCAATAAATTTTCAAAATTTTAGAAACAAATATCCTTGCTTATTCACCCTATTTCAAAGAAAGCATTGGCCTAAATCTCTTGGTAGAAACTTTACCATCTTAACTTGTTTAGCACCGTAAATTTCGATCGGATCGAACGATAAAGCTTAGATTCCAAGTCTGTTTTCCTATGCCCCGTTGCGAGCTTTGCCCGAAAAGAGATAATAAAAGACTAAGATCAAGTTTCTAATACATAGATTTGGAACTTGCTACAAACCTAATTAAAAAGCACTCGCAAAAACACAAGGGAAACCAATCTCTAATATACTTTCCCGGACGAGTAAATTATAAATTACTATAATATCATCATTGTCCATAAAAGGTAACAGGGGAAGAAAAGAAAAGATAAATCTAGCCCGAACATGAAACCCTACTTTCCATAAATTTAGCAAAGTGGCAACGGTTGCCATGCATTTGGGTAATGTTCCCCTTCTTTTCATAGAATTCGAAGTGTGCATTTGTTTTCCGTTGATCTACAAGAGAGATGGAGACGAATTGACATGCAATATGCATAAAGTTTAAACCTCGCCAAAATTCCCAAGCTTGAAGTAATCGAGGCAAGGTTCACAATTTTGATCAAATAAGCTCTATAAAAGTCTCGGTGAGCAACTATCAATCTTTTCTCGTATTTTGGGTTTTCCTTCAATATGACAAAACCTTCGAGAATGGGCGAAGGTGGAATATACCTGCGAAGTGGTGATTGTTTGAGTTAATGGTTTTTTAAGGTTTATTTATTTTAGCTTTACTAGAACAATTGTTTTTAGATCTTGGTGATGAGTTTGTGAGGTTAGTTCAATTAGTGTTTGATTTTATTTGATAATCATAATTAAAAAACGAGATGTATTGTAAATGATATTTATTTCTAAAATTTTATAAAATTATTAATAAATTTAGTATTAAAAAAAAGCTGATACGTGTAAGTGATTTGATCCACGTGACAAAAACTACCTTATTTTGATAAATAAGATTAAAATAATCTTACTTTTGTAAATAAAATTTAGAAATATCTTGTTTTAAAGAAAAACTCATTGTAATTTATCAATTCAACAATCAATACTTACACTACTAGGACCACCATGGACACAAGTACAACCATTGTTTTATTGCTAATGTAACTATTATTTTATCACGATTCTATCATAATTCTTAAACACTACCCAACGGTACTAATTACCTTCACTTCATCATCTATGTAACCACTATATTTTTTTTTTAACCATCTTCATCACTATTATTGTCACTCTACCACTATTATAATCATTATTTTATCATCATTGCTACATTCATTACTGACCCAATAATTATCACCCTATAACCTCTACTGCTATTATCAATATTATCACTACTATTAACATTAATACCACTACTATAACCACCACAAACATCATAATTTTTTCTCATCTTATCATCATCATTAAAAACTACAAATAAAACTAATATTTTTCATGAATATAGTTTTAAAAAATAAAAATAAGTATGAGAAATAACTCATTTTATGAAAGAATATTTTCCACCATAAAATATTTTGTACGAATCAAACTTAAATGGTAGCAATTAGTGTTCTTATGCTTTGGCGATCTAAAAAATATTTATCCATCCTTCCAATTTGACTCCAAACGGGTTTACATCCCCAAATTTAACAGAAAAATCAGAGGAAACTGGATGAATGGACTGAAGCTAAAGGATTTGATTGCACAATCGATAGTATAGGGCTTAATGTATGAGAATCTCTATAGTACAGGAACTAAAAATATCATTAAAAAAAAACCCAGATCCCCACCGTACACACACCGAGACCCCACACATAATCCAACGGCAAGCATATCATGAATCACCAACCAACTGAACCGTAATCAACAGCAGGCATCAGCGAAGTTTCTAGGAAAATCAGAAAACCACACCGTAGAGAACAAAAGCATCAGTCTTTATTGACTGAGAAAGCAAAAAATTCCTCTCCTAATCCCTTTCTCCTCTTGTAATCAAAGAATCAAGAACTCCTCTTCCTCCAATTCTCTAAGGTACTCACCATCTAATTTCTCCTTTTGCGATTAGGGTTTTAATTTTTCAATCAAGTTCTGATTTTTATTTAGTTATTTTTGTTTAGATTGTTAGAAAACAAGATGTGGGCAGCTTCTTGCCTCGCGTCGTGCTGCGCTGCCTGTGCGTGTAATGCATGTACGACTGTAGTATCTGGAATTAGCAGGCGATCCGCCAGGATCGCCTACTGCGGTCTCTTTGCTTTGTCTTTAATCGTTTCTTGGATTCTCCGTGAAGTTGCGGCTCCTCTCATGGAAAAAATCCCTTGTAAGCCCTTTAATTTGCCATTTTTTTTCACCAGTATAATTTTGATGATAATAATGATGATGTTAGTATTTTGTGCTGTTTTTCAATGTTAGGGATTAATCATTTTCATAAGACCCCGGATAGGGAATGGTTTGAGACGGATGCGGTTTTGCGTGTTAGTTTGGGGAATTGTCTGTTTTTTACTATATTGGCCATTATGATGGTTGGTGTGAAAAATCAGAAGGACCCGCGCGATAGTTTGCACCACGGTGGATGGATGGCTAAAGTTGTCTGTTGGGTTCTATTGGTGATCTTCATGTTTTTCCTTCCAAATGAGATTGTCAGCTTCTATGGTATTTGGTTTTATTACTTGTTGGGATTGTTTTTTTGTATTGAATTGTGATTTTGTTTGGCAGCTTTTTTGTTTAGAAGTGTGTTGGCTTCTTAAGAGTTGTTGTTTTTGGTTCGTTATGCAATTTGGTGAGGATTTGTTAAGATTTAAGTGTCTTCGAAATTGAATGCAAATGGCAAAAGGGTTCTTTCTACGTAGTGACAAAAGTATGATATATGGGCAGGTCAACGGCCTACCACTTTGAAGACATCAGTATTAACCTATTTGAGTAGGAGTGACAGAAATGATCAAATTTCAGGACTTAAATAGACTATACAATCTATCTGTTAGTTGGATCATATTATTTACCAAATTCCGATTAGGGCAGCTGATAGATATTAATTTATGTTATTGATATGATGTTTTCCAAGGCAATGCTCAATCTAAAATTCTTAGTATGTGCTAACTGATGACATGCTATGAGAGATTGATTGTCTTCTTTTGATGTTCCTGTGTCTTTCTTGCTATGTAAAACATTTTTTGTACTGTGGCATGAGATGACAAGTTAAATTTTTTATATGCAGAGTCAATATCCAAATTTGGCTCAGGATTGTTTCTTCTTGTTCAAGTTGTGCTTTTGTTGGATTTTGTTCATGGATGGAATGACAAATGGGTTGGATATGATGAACAGTTCTGGTTAGTTTTTCTTTTTTCTTTCTTTCCTTTTGGCTGTCTTCTTTTTTCCTTTCTATAACCAGATTAACCACTTCTTGTTTTGCAAATTTTTTATATAGGTACGTTGCTCTATTTGTTGTGTCATTTGTTTGTTACATGGGAGCATTTGCCTTCTCGGGACTTCTCTTTCATTGGTTCACTCCATCTGGACAGGACTGTGGATTAAACACCTTCTTTATCCTTATGACCCTGATTTTTGCATTTGTTTTTGCTATCGTTGCACTGCACCCTGCTGTAAGTTTTAATTCTTTTTGTGTTCAAATAAATCTGACCATTGTGACTATTCATCTTCTTTCCTTCCCACACATGCTTGCGGAACTGTTACATTGTAAGAGAGATGTGCTTGATGCCACAATTGCTTTGTCTATATACGTTGTATCCTAATGTGATATAGACAGGTTAGCTACAAAATTGGTTTATGAGAATAATACTTTCAATTATAAATAAAAAAAAACTAATCATGTTGCATTCAAATCATCAAGGATTACAGTTGAACATGTATGCTCCAACACTGTCAGTGTTCATCTGGGCGGGTTTGTATATATATATATATTATAATAATGATAAAATAAATAAATTAGATTGCAATTGGTCTAGGAATGATACAAAAAATGAGAGTAGGATTTTGCTTGATGATTTACATTTTGGAACTTATAATGATTTCTTGGATTCAACTTAGTTCCTCGTGGTACTTAGGGATAAGACAACTGCTGTGTCAAGCTCATGTTAGGTGTTCTTTCTCAAAGAAATAACTGTATTGTGTTCTCGTCAAGGATGCCCATAGTTGTTCTATTTGCATGCTTCATAATTTCAAATTATAGTTTGTTATGTTGTTTCCATAAATGCCTAGAGTGCATACCTGCACTTGCTTCTTTCCTGGTATTAGAACTTTTGGTTTGCCGTCTCATAGGCTGTCATTTTCTTGGAACACAGGTAAATGGCAGTATTTTGCCCGCTTCAATTATATCCTTGTACTGCATGTACCTATGTTATAGTGGACTTGCCAGCGAACCGAGGGAATATGAGTGCAATGGTCTTCACAGGCATTCAAAAGCTGTTTCTACAGGCACTCTTACCATTGGTCTGCTTACAACTGTTCTTTCTGTAGTCTACTCTGCTGTCCGTGCTGGGTCCTCTACAACCCTGCTCTCCCCTCCAAGTTCACCCCGTGCAGGTAGATAGCAAACATGTCATACTTTTGATATGTAGTTTTCATATGATATCCCAAGAACCTATTCAGAAATTCTTTTGAATAAAAATGTTTCTGCACCCTGTAAATTTCCAAAACTTCATCTATAGTCTGTTACTGATATGAGAGAATGGGGTACCTACTTTTCTGCATGTTTTATTTCTCCTTTTTTTCTATTGGTTAGGACTGTATGTGAAATGTGCTTTCATTAGACTTGTTGTGGCTCCCCCTTCCCCATTGACATGAAAATTTTGTTTGGAATCTGACATTTTGTTTCTGGGTTAGGTGCTGACAAACCTTTGCTTCCGTTGGACAACAAGCAAAGCGAGCAAGAAGAAAAGGAGAAGTCTAAGCCAGTCACATATTCTTATTCTTTCTTCCACATCATCTTCTCTCTTGCGAGTATGTACTCTGCAATGCTTTTGACTGGATGGTCAACCTCGGTTGGAGAGAGTGGAAAGTTGGTAGATGTGGGGTGGCCCTCTGTATGGGTTCGTATTTTGACTGGGTGGGCAACTGCAGGTCTCTACATCTGGTCTCTGGTCGCTCCTATTCTGTTCCCAGACAGGGAGTTCTAAGTCTCCTACTCCCTGGTGATATAAATATTAATGAAATGTTGCAAATTGGTGTATATGTAATGCAACTTCCGACATGTCTCTTAACAGAGAATTCCATAAATTGTACTTATGAGATGTAAAACGTGCTTTCTATATATTACAAACCTTTGGTTGCTGAACTCTGGCTTCATCAATTTTGAAGAACTTGCTTCTATACACCTCAATGAGGGTTATAAAGGACTGGTTGCAGAGGGAATGACGGAACATGATATTTTCCAAACAGGATTTGATCCCCTGTAACTGTCTCCTTCTCAAGTCCCAAGCAAAGTTTTAAATCGCAATTGCCATATTGACAATAAAACAATGGTTATGATAATATCGCAATTGCAAGTAATGGATATTATGAATGCGTTATTAGTTAATAATTATGCATGATAATATCATTTTTAATATTATCCAAACATTTGAATTTATTATAAAAGATAATAATGCTTGTAATAGTTTATTATTACATAGATAATCATAAAATATATATAAAAAAAAATTTTTAACAATAATAAAATACAAAAATCAGTTTTTTTTTTCAAAAAAATAACAGCTAATTTTCTCCAAATAATAACATTATATGACAATAGCCGCATATAACACTATTATTTATCTAAAACATCATTATATTTTTTATAATATTATAATATTTATCTGAATCCGTTTTACAACAACTATTACCGCATCATTATTTGAAACTATGGTCTCAAACACACTTGGGCACCCCGGTATTTATGGCGGACAAGTGGTAATGATCATTCCTTCAACATTAATTTTACTTTTCATCATTTCAACGCAAATATCAAACATATAAATGCATGATCTAAACCATTGATAGTGAGATGCAATCCACTTGCTGTCATATTTCAACTGCCATTCCGAACTCATTAGAGAGTAGCAGGTTCGAAGGGATAATTGAAGGCAAGGCAGCTTATCAAACGCCATTCTCCAAAACCCATTATAAAAATTAATTTTCAGGATTCATAGTTAGGAGCTATAAAGTAAACCAAACGCTACCAAACTAAAGATCCTCACAAGAACACGGACCGTTATATAAAACCAAAACTACAAATCCAGCCAGCCAATGTTCAATTCTCAATCTTCAAAATCTGCACCATTTTCCAATAGATAGTTGGCTGCCAGTTCCTCGTTGCGATCACAAGCCAAAAATGCCTCAATGACAAGGGCTCTATCAAATCCCATTGCCTCAAGCTATAACATGGGAAAAAGAAGTATTAGTAAAAAAAAAAAAAAAGTAGGCATCATCGATGCAAACAAGACAATGACAGAATAAAAAAGTAGGCATACCCGTTCAATAGCCTCTTGTTCAGCTGGGGTCACATTGATAGCATGGGGCATCTCTTGATCAGGTTGATCAAATATATCCCTGAGAAAAACAGAGATACCATATTGTGACATAAATGTTCTGGGCGGATGAATAATCTATTTTGGCATCTGCACACCACATATCTCACAATAAAAAAGCAAAATATTAAATGATTGCTCAGGCCAATCCTAGGATCCAAACATGGCTGGTCTCGAACCTGTGGCTAGCCACCTACTTGCATTTTGCCACCAAGGATATGCCAATAGACCGCATAGGCATTGTTAAACAAAAAAAAAAAAAATTAAAAACATGGAAATAAATAAATTTGTCAGGTTCAATCCATAACCCATGGAGCAATGGCACTCCAACATCAGTTTTTTTGTTTCAAGTGACAAATGACGAACTTTTTTAAGGTTTTGACTTTTAAGTACACAAAAACAAGAAAAGCCAATAGTTTGCTAATTTCAGGCTCATGTCAGCTAAATTCCTAAGAGTTTGAGCTCAGTATTTGGAGAAGCACACTAGCGTAGCTCAAGCTCATACATGGCCCGTTACGGCCCACCATATAAAACTAGTGACTTGCTTAATTTAGAATGTCACCATATAGTAATATTAAAATTGCAGTTAAAAATAGAGTAGAAATCGCAATTGGCACTCTCACTAATTACCGATGAGTGGTGTGATATAGCATGAAATCAACATTTTTCAGATGTCCAGCACCATTACCATTTCTATCATAGAAATTATGGAAAATGATTTATGAACAAATTTGAAGTATATCAATAACTACCGACACCGATGATGACAAAGACCTAATTCACCACCATCGGCGTCGGTGCTTATTGATATACTTCATATTTGTTACATAAATCATTTTCCATAATTTCTATGATAGAAATGGTAATGGTGACGATGAAGACCTAATTAATCACCATCTGCTAGATCCCTTTATATTTTAATGAACCAAGGTAGTTGCTTAGAAGTCATTTTAGATATCACCAAATAAACCAATAAAGTTACTCACCCTTCAGAACCGTCAAGTGGTTCATTTATTAACTGAAGAAATTCTGCATTATGCTCTTGAATCATTCTCAAAAGCTGGGGGTTTTGCTTTCCAAGCTCCTGGAGCATGGGCTGTTACATAGCTATTTTAACTTCAAGACAACAAATGTCATCATAGAAAAATAATAATAAGAGAAATGAAAAGTACCTGCAAAATTTGAGGATTTGCTTGAACCATCGAACGCAATGCTTGAAACTAAAATGCAACGAAGATAGAAAAAAAAATATTTTATGTCAATGTACAAACTTGATAATCACTGGAAATCCTACAAGTAGTATCGATAGTTATTTGGCAATCAGCATTAAATGAAATATAGAAACTTGATAACCATTAGAAATCCTAACTCAAGCAATATCAATGGTTAATTTGACAATTGGCATTAATGAAATTTAGCATCCACCCCAAAACTCATCTAAGCATATCAAGCAAAATATTTACGATTTAGTCATAGCTCATACCTCCTACATATTCCTGCCTTATTCATGATTTTCTCACACAATTTATTATGCTACTTTTAGATTCAATGCCATGAATGAGCAACAAAAGTGGCTCTTTTTTAGTAGGAAAAAAAGGCCCAAGCACATGCACATGAATATCGGTGTGAATTATGAACACCAATGGATGTAGCCTTTAGAAGCATTGCATATAGAATCCAATACACAAATAACAACAAAAGGTGTAAGGATTCATACTTGTTGATTGTTTCTAAGGAAATCAAGAGAACCAAGTACGGCGCCTGTGCCCAATCCACCACCAGAAAGTGTCTGCTGGACAGGTTTCAAATCAATAACAGTAACAACTATACAGTCAATACACAATGAAAACCTTCTAAACTCTAAAGTTTTACCTCAGGAAACATATTCAATGGAGATGAGTTAGGTCCTCCGGATGCAGGTACAGGTGGAGCTGTACCTGTTTCAGTGGCTGGATCTGCAGGAAACCTAGCCACTGGGACAGCAACTTCTGCTGTTTCTGGAATGCCCTGAAGACAGAACACTGGTGTCAGTGCTAATCTAAGCAAAGATAGCAACAGGCTACACACAGGATTTAGACTTACAGAGTACAAGTAATCCACTGCCCGCTCCGGGTTATTATAGGCAGCTCGAAGTGCACGAGTAACTGTTTCTTTGTCCCAGTTTCCACCACCTATATCCATTATTTGCTGAATAGTCTGCTCCAAATTGCTACCAGCAACTAAATTGGAAGCAGCTTGATCATAGGTATCACTCTGTGCACTGCAGCAAAAACACAGTATTATCACAGTTAAAATATTTGAGAACAGAAGTTGCAGATTATAGATTACAAATTTCTTAAAAATGAGCAAAGTTTATAAAATCACCCTCAACAAGATCAGATTGTTAGCCCACAATACACATAAAGCAAAGCAGGAATTACATCAAATTGATGTAGATAAGGCATTTACAACATGCACTCACGAGTAGGTGTAAGACGTCAATATCAAAAGCCAAGAAACCAGCATTTTCTTTTCAGGAAATGCTAATGGCTACGTTAGGAGAATAATGAGAAAATGTGTACTATGTGAAATTGTCACAATAAAATTTCCTAAAAATATCAGACACAAAGACTACTATTCCATGCATAAGAGGGCAACTATAGTTTTAAATCGCAGACACAGTTGTAAAAATGGTCGCGCTTGCGATTGCAGATTGCGGTACTAAAATAACGGTAACGAAAACCGATGTCATAAACACATTAACAGGCTAGAAACTATTAATAAATTTATTCTAATTCACATATTTTAACAATTTTACTAATTAAGCATGATAATAACATCTCTAATAATTTAATATCATACAACAACAATTGAATTTATTACAAAAGAAATTTAATAACACTTCTAATAGTTTAATATCACACAAACAATAATAAATACAAAGAATCAATTGTTTTTTTTAAATATAACGGCCGTTACTTGGCAACGGCATTAGATAACGGTAACGGCATATAATGCCGTTATTTGTGTGAAACACCATTGCGCTCCTTATAACGGCGTATAACAGTAATGGGCATGCCCGAATCCGTTAAATAACGGCAGTTATTTGGAACTATTGGGAGGGTGGGGGTGGGGGGAGCAGTCATCTGGCCACTCTAATCAATTTGGTATTGACAGATATGGTCACTGCTTGAATGCATTGTCCAAGAGCTAAAAGGTGGAGAAACTCAGACCAGCTACAAGTTACCAAACTGATCTCTGTATTTTACCTTAGCATAAAATAATAATAACAACAACAGGTAATCAACAAAAAATCATGCCCTCTACAATATCTCATCTGGTTCTTTACAGAAAAATTGCATGAGACTAGATTGATGCTTTAAATGAAATTTAGCTTTTATATTCAGGACAGCTCACACTAACAAGTGATGGTACTATCCATAATAAGCCCTTGAATCAATTGGATCGCTGATAATCCTCACTAAAACGTGTATGGTTATATGGAAATGACCTACGCCAACCCTAATAGCAAAGACTAACTTTGTTACCTAATTTCAAAAGGGGGTTTCCAACTCTGGTTAGAAGTTTGAGAACATAACTATCTTAAAATAACAAGACTATAAGACCAGGACAGCAACTCGTCCTCTTAGATATCAAAATGAAACAAGTTTAATATTCAAGTTTCTTGCTGTGTAATTTTAGAGATCTCATAAATGTTCCAACTTTGGCTTGAGTTGGAGAGAATAAAACAGAGAATTACATAGCAATGCAAACCACGTGAGGTTGTTGCTGAATTTCCATGGAAAAGTATAAGATTCTTCCTCAATACAAAACATATAAACCAGTAGCACTGATGACCCACGAGATAAAACAGGCCAAAAGTCACCAAGAACTAAGTTTCACATACAAGATCAATATTATGCATTTACTGACAAATATTACGGCCATATTGTCTTGAAATAACCAAAATAAAGATAGTGCAACTAGAGAAAATAGTGTGTACTTGGCTGTTGCTGTGTCAGAAGCAGATGCACTCTTTGAGGCCCTGTGATGACAGATTTAAGTATAAGAAAGCTGAATTCAGTTATTCCAGAATTTTTAAAAATGAAAGATATTTGTGGTATAAATAAACTAACGGTGCTTGAGCATCAGGTGCGGGAGTCAAATTTGAAGTTGGTGTGGGGGTCAAATTTGAAGTTGGTGCCGAAGTCAAATTTGAAGTTGCTGCGGCAGTCAAATTTGAAGTTGGTGCGGTGACAGGTGGAGTAGAGACAGGCTGCTGTACATAAACAGAAGAAAAGGGCTTATTAAAAGAACAAAAAAAAAAAAAAATACAAGAACAAGCTACTTCCAGGAGAAAAGTAAAATACGATGAAAAATACCTGGGTGGATGAAGTCGCAGCTGTGCTTGTTTTACTCTGTAAAGATAGCAAATAGATGGAAGAAAATGTTATAGACCAAGCAATAGAAGTAAGCAATAAAGCATAAAGTCCACAATTGCTCATGCAGTTCGTGAATACAACAAATATGAAAAAGATGCAGACAAAAAATACAGATAAACACAAGCTAATGTGCTCGAAAACAATTCGTGCAGCTTCTATGAAATATTAATTAAGAAAGCTAGCAGGTGCCCTTAGGGCACTCTATAAGTTATTAGTAGTGATAGTAGTAGTATAGCAGTTAAATGTTGTAACAATTAGACAAATTTGACTTTCAAATTTTCATCTAACCACCATTACTTACCCGTCAATTACGGGCCAACAACTGAAGATACCATTTTTGAACTTGTAATGAGGTTGGATAAAAAAGCTTGAAACTCAAGTTGTCTAATTATTAGAACATCCAAAGAACAAAACCTACCAAAACTGATAATTCGGATACCGTTGAGAGATTAGTTATTGGCAGTTATTAATTTCACACCATGTTTATTCACAATAAAATTACAAAATTTCTCAGCTTCATATAAGAGTCTTTACTGAATATATTGTTCACCAAAACAATCACAATACACTACTAATACAAGACATTATTGCACGCTAAAAGCCCTAAACAAAAAATTCAAATTTTAATAACAATAATCCCAAAACACGTAATACATGCCCTTGGAGAAATTCGTATTGACGTCATCAAAATAATCAACATAAGCATAAACATAGAAAGAATTAAGCATGAAAAAGAACCTACCAAAAGAATTAATTAAACATTATAACCACAACATAGAATTAATGAATTAATGACTGAACAAAAACAAAACAAAAGGATAACCAAAGTATTACCTTGCTAAGCATGACAACAAGAAAGCCATCTTCATTGACCTTATTATCAGCTAATGTAGTCTCGTCTTTCAATACTTTTCCATTATGAATCAACAATTGTTGTCCACATGGGTAATTGTCTTTTCCTTGCACATCTTCAATATTCTTCTTTACACCCATAACCTTCAGAATTTTTTATTTATTTAAACAACAACAAAAAATCAACAATACCAAATAATAAAATCTCTATAAGAAACATGTAGCAACCATAACAACAATAATAATAATCATAATTAAGGTTTAATTACTTACAGTGTCGGTGGGCTGAACCTTAATTTCGAAATGGCTGCCCTTCAGAGTCTTGACGGTGAGCTTCATTGTCGACGAATTGTAGCGGAGAGATGCAAAAAACGACAGCTTTGTTAAGAAGAAACCCTAGAGAGAACCAGAGAGTACTGGCTGGTGCAGGGATTTATAGAGCTAACAAATGAGAAGAGAAAAGAGAGTGGATTTTTGGGTTTAAATTGCTGCCGCTTGCACGCTTTGGTCACGTGACCTTCACCAAATTTTACTTCTTTGGTGTTTTACCGTTATGCCAAGGGTATTACTGACAGGAAATACAACAAATATTAGTAAATAGCATATTGACGGACAACTCTTGAAAAAAGTTTTCATTTATTTATTTATTATTGTTATTATTATTATTTCATTTGCTACTCTTGTGAGGTTTTATTTGAGTGTAGAAAATGCACGAGCAAAGAATCATTAACCTTGCTATGTAAGTAAAAAGTGTTTTGAAAGATATAAACATTGCAGTTATTATTATAAAAATAAAAATATTGTATTCAATCTTGCCATGTTTTTAACACACTCTGTGAATGGACGAACAATTAGAATTTTGTTTATAAATAGTATTTTATAGCTATAATTAATAATTAAGGCATTAAGGTATTATCATTAATAGTTAATGGTTAAAAGACATGACGTAAGATGTTTTCATTTTTCAAATCTATATAACCGTTTAAATGACCAAATTAATTGCAAATACAAAATAGAGGAGCTAACTTTAGCTATTGTATTGAACAAATACATGTTAATTTTTCATAATATTAGAAATTAAACTGATCGTCATTACAAAATTAAAAACCTAATTTTAGCCTCGTTTTATATGAGATGAACACATCCCAACTAGCTTTTTCAATAAGCCAGGTTGGTATAATTCTATCGAGAAGGTCATTATTTACGTTGAATTAAAAAATTTGATAGTATATAAAAAACAATTTTGATATCACTAGTGTTCTTTTTTTTTTGATGAGTATCATTGAGCATGTAACTTAATAGTAATATTCTAATACACCCTCACTTATAATTATGTGAGATTCAATATTTACCATAGTAATTATTCACGAATCGTGTATTAGGATTAAAGAGTAGGAAAAAGGTAATTTAATGGAAACATGGATCCCAAATTTTTGGTCTACGAAATTTATTATACGTTGGATAAGTATACCTCACAAGGATTATCTCTTACATTAGTTTTTAACCAATTATAACTTATATTCTTTCCCTTAGAAGAAAATGACTCTTAAAATTCTTTCCTCTAGAAGAAAATGACTTGGATTCTCTTGCCAATCCAAAGTTTTAGATTCTATGAACAATGTTAATTAGATGGTAGGTTTCTTAAACGAGATTTTGGTTTCCATAATTATACTGAATCATTGATTTTGGTCTAGATATTTTCCGAGTTTGATTTTGTTGCCATTGAATGTATAGGTCGCCTGACTTGTCTGAAATTCACTGCATGTTCTTGTATTTCTCCCTTTAAAGATGATCACCAAAGAGAATCTACAGCAAATATGAATTTACCATGAAATAAATTCATCATTGAAAGAAAATGAGCCATACAAAAATTTAAAAATTACTTTATGAATTCATTTAAAAGAGAGATGGAAAAAAAAAAAATTGTCATTAAACTCAATTTTTTTCTTTAACTTATTTCTCTTTTCTCTTTGTAATTATCTCTAATGTGAAATAAGTATTGATCATTATATTTTAAATATCATAAATTTTCTCCAAAAATACAAGGAAAAAAATTTGCAATCCAGACTATACATTTAATTTTTTTTATTTTTACTGATCTGGTCATTGTATATTACGTGCAAGTTACCAAATATGCTCCCTTCTTCTAAATTCAGAGTAAATTATAAATTAGTCATTTTGGTTTTGTAAAATAAATTAAATAATTTCTCTAGTTTTAAAAATTAATTAATTAGTCCATTGATCAGTGTTAACCGTACTTAATTTAATATTATTTTATTTTAAAAAAAATTTCTAATCAATCTTCCGTATTATTTACTTGTTTATTTTTTTCTATTTATTAAAAAATAAAAAATTGTAATCCAAACTATTCATTGATTCATTTATTTTTTTATTTTACTGATCTTATCGTTGTATATTACGTGCATATTACCAAATATGCTCCCTTCTTCAAAATTTAGAATAAATTATAAATTAGTCATTTTAGTTTTGTAAAATGAATTAAATAGTTTTTTTAGTTGATTTTACAAAAATAGAAGGACTAATTTATAATCTACCCTCTAAATTTCTGACTCGACTTGTTCACAGACTAAAAGCCTATCAACAAAGCCCAAACTTAACCCCAGATCTTAAGTTTGGATAAGGATTTTTAAACTGTCGTCTCGGCCCAATATACCTTAGACTGCCTCGGCCTATAAACCTAGATCTTAAGTTTGTTGATCGGAGCCTTGCTATTAAAATTTAGAACTTCCTTCTTTCTTTACATAATAATTCACCTTCTTCTTGTGTTTTCTTATCATTACAATCACCTTCAACTTTCTCATCCAACAAGAGAGAAAGGAAGTTAACCAAAAAAAGGCGTACCTCAAGAAAAATCACCCAGCTATGGACGGTGTCTCATCTGATCAAATTAATCCCTGAAGAATTTTTGTTTCAATTGGATCCCTTATTCGATTTTTCTCAATCAAGTATTCCATTAAAACTCTTCATACATTTTCAAGAGACGACACTAAGTTTTTTCTCTCACGTGAGGAAACAATGACCACATAAAAATTTATCTTGCATTGAATTGTTCAGTGTATGACACTGGACGAGCACCATTGCAAAAGGGGGAACACATAATTGTAGAAGATCAAATCATTAGCACTAACCATCTAGCCGTGCTATTATGGTGAAGAATTGTCTTCCTCCAATGGAACATCTCCTCTCCTGTACATGGAAGTTGAAATTTGGGAATAGCTCATGTCAATGATGTGCCTCCATTATTAAGAATCTAATAAGCACCGCTAATAGAGCCTTCAAATATGAACGGGTTGATCTGTGGTTAATGGGGTGTGATTCCTCCCTCACTAGCCACCAGAGTTTAAACCTTCGATAAAGTATCATCTAAATAATAAAATTTTCTTAAATCTCTTAATTTCTAAGATATTGGCCTTTTTTTGGACCAAATTGAATATCATTTAATCTTGATACATGAAAATTGATGCGGTGATAAAATATTATCCCTTTTCTAGACCAAATCAATTCAAGTTGGCAAGCATCTTTTCAACAAGACACCATTGTCATTCCAACGGGAAAGGGGAGGGTTAACTATGCGGTTAATCAATATATCCAATTCATGAAGAAAAAAGGAAAAAAAAAAAAGCCGAAAGTCAAACTATATCTACAGATTTCAGTAATATTGAAAAGAGAATTTGAAGAAAAATAGCATTAAAAGCTTACCGTTTTGTTCCTTGTGAGATATACTTACCCAACGTATAACAAATTTCATAGACCAAAAATTTGGGATCCATGTTTCCATTAAATTACCTTTTTCCTACTCTTTAATCCTAACACACGATTCGTGAATAATTACTATAGCAAATATTGAATCTCACATAATTATAAGTGAGAGCATATTAGAATATTACTGTTAAGTTACATGCTCAATGATACTCATCAAAAAAAAAAAAAAAAAAAGAAAAGAAAAGAAAAGAAAAGTAAAAAGTAGTGATATCAAAATTGTTTTTTATATATTATCAAATTTTTTAATTCAACATAAATAATGACTTTCTCGACAGAATTGTACCAACCTAGCTTATTGAAAAAGCTAGTTGGGATGTGTTCATCTATGTAAAACGAGGCTAAAATTAGTCTTTTAATATTGTAATGATGATCAGTTTAATTTCTAATATTATGAAAAATTAATATGGATTTGTTCAACACAATAGCTAAAGTTAGCTCCTCTATTTTGTATTTGCAATTAATTTGGTCATTTTAATGGTTATATAGATTTGAAAAACAAAAACATCTTACGTCATGTCTTTTAACCATTAACTATTAATGATAATACCTTAATGCCTTAATTATTAATTATAACTATAAAATACTATTTATAAACAAAATTCTAATTGTTCGTCCATTCACAAAGTGTCTTAAAAACATGGCAACATTGAATACAATATTTTTATTTTTATAATAATAACTACAATGTTTATATCTTTTAAAACACTTTTTACTTACATAGCAAGGTTAATGATTCTTTGCTCGTGCATTTTCTACACTCAAATAAAACCTCATAAGAGTAGCAAATGAAATAATAATAATAATAAATAAATGAAAATTTTTTTCAAGAGTTGTCCGTCAATATGCTATTTACTAATATTTGTTATAAAAAAGAGTAATTACTCGTACATGCCACTAGTTATTATTGACCTTATCTTTAAGGAACAAAACGGTAGGACTTATTAGAAAATAGGCGAATAAAAAACATTTCTTTATATATACGAAATTGAAGAATGTAATAATATTTTGTTATTACATAGGATACAAATAGAGAAATTTTATAATACACAAGGAGTAACTAGTGACATGTACAGTAGCTACTCCTTATGCCCGTTTTGAAGAGAGAGATAGACATACAAAAAGAGAGAAAAAAATAGAAGAGAGAAAATAAAAAAATTTGAGCGGACGTAAAAATCTTCTTATCACTTTTGTATGGATATAATTTCTCTCTTTTTTTATGTGTCTATCTCTCTCATCAAAGTGGATCCAAGGAGTAACTACCGTACATGCCACTAGTTACTCCTTGTGTATTATAAAATTTTTCATACAAATATGTATATATATATATATATTGATTTACAGAAAAAATATCCTAACAATAAAGGAAAAAGGATCCTAAAAATAAATGAAAAATTATATGGTCTAATAATGAAAAGATTATTACCATATTATTACAATATATTTTCCTAAAATATGAAATAACAACAATACTCCCCTTTCAAGTTGGAGCATGAAGATTGAAAATGCCCAACTTGCCTAATAAATCTAGAAAATGAACTCGACCAAGAGCTTTGGTGAAAATGTCAATGAATTGATGATGAGAAGAGACGGAATAAGGGGAGAGTAGTTTGGATTGGATGTGTTGGTGAAGGAAGTGATAGTTGATCTCAATGTGTTTGGTGCGCTTAAGAACATTAGATTGACGAGTAATATGAAGAGTATCTTGGTTGTCACGGAATAATGAAACTAGATAAGGATGAGGAACACCCGGAAGACGAACAAGCCGGACTATCTCACTAATAATGGTGGCTATGGCTCGATATTCAGCTTCGACTATGGAACGAGAGACAACGGACTATCTCTTAGAATGCTAGGATATTGTGAAAACTCCAAGAAATTTAATGTATCCAAGTGGTGGATCTACGATTAACTAGACAACCAACCTAATCGGCATCACAATAACCTTGTAGAGATAAGGAACTATCGGATGGAAAGAAAATGCCTTATCTAGGAGCTCTTTTGAGATATCAAATTACCAAAATAGCAAGCATCAAGGTGTGGTTGGCGTGGCTAGTGCATGAATTGACTCAAAACACAAATTGCATAGCTAATGTCCAGAGTGATGGTGAGGTAGAGTAAACACCCTACTAGATGGCGATATGTGTTAGTATCATCACAAATAGGGTCACAATCAAGATCAAGCTTATGCTACTCGCTCTATAGGTAAGAAAACTGGTTTACAACAAATAAGACCATATTTAGTTAATATGTTAAGAACATACTTACGTTAACTCAAATCAATACCAATCAAATGGCGAGCAACCTCAAATCCTAAAAAATATTTGAGTTTATGAAAATCTTTAATACGAAATGTGGTGTCCGGATATCGTTTGAGCCAAGAAATTACCGAGATCTCGCTATATTTCTTTGTTTATCATATTGAGCCACCATTGCATAAGCTTTTCCAAGCCCCGATAAATGTTCAAGGCTCAATATTTGTGATTGAATTGTTTTGTAGGCATCATCTAACCTCATTAAAAAAAATCATAAGCCTTCTCTCTTCATGCATTTGCTCCATCTTTCGTATGACTTCACATGTGCAAACAAGAATTAGCCTAAGGATTATGTAATTCACTCCACAGATCCTCTTAATTTGCCATAGTATGAGGAGACATCCGCTCTTTCTTGTTATAACAAAGCAATCAACCTTTTTAGCTCATATACTTTGGGTGTAATTCCGTGGGTAAACCTTTCTTCAAAATCAAACCGATTTCACTTACGGTGATGGTGTGGATGGCTCCTAATTATAACTCCTTGGAGATTAAGTTTAGAAGCCATGACTTAACCACCACGTTACATTAAATCTAAGCTTAAAAATCTTCAAAATTGACATCGAGTTTGAGTATTGATCCATCCATAAATCCAGCTTTGTTTTTGGATTGGAGGGCGTTGAGGAAGTTGTTTCTCCAATTGAAATAATTCTCACCATTCTCGCCTAAAGGTTGAATAACAAAAATCAATCTTAGATGATCCGAGAGGTGCAAATAGAATGAAGATTTGGTATCAATTGCAATACTTGAAATATTCGCAATAGGCACCAAACTTATCCGATCACCACTTGCGGAATCAATTGACACGACTAGGAGTAGAGAGAGAAAAATTTAGGTTATAAACCTTGCTACGATGCTATGAAGAAAATGAAGAATGTAATAATATATATATATATATATATATATATATATATATATATATATATATATATATATATATATATATATTGGTTATTACATAGGATACAAAAATATATATATTGATATACGAATAAATTTTCTAACAATAAAGGAAAAATCATATAGTCTAATAATGAAAAGATTACTATCATATTATTACAATATTTTTAGTAAAGTATGAAATAACATCAATACATATAAAGCCCTCAATCATGTTATTTCCAGTGGCATAAATTGTATATACTTTGGTCAATTGAGGAAAATTTTATGTTTTGAGAAAAAAGATAGAAGTTCATCCTTAGACTTAAGGAAGGCAAAACAAGAAGTATAACTATGACTTTGGTTCTAGTGAAAGCAATAAAAGTAAAGTTCTGTTTTAGTTTTTTGAATAAAAATTTTTGGCACGAAAAAACCCAATCAACGCGACCCTATTAAAGAGGGACTTTGAAAGAAAGAAGAAGAAGAGCAAAGAAATCTTGTGTAGATGGCAAGTAGCTCAATCGAGAGGAACCACATACTTAGTATTTTCTCATACTCCATTAAGTTCAATAAAGTAAACATTAAAATATCTTGTACTTTGAGTAATTGACGGAGACCATTGCCAATTGCAATCTTATCGGCTATAAGAACCTTTTCTTCGATCTTGTCCAAATCTTTAAAGTTGAGTTCATATAGAACATTATTACGGTAATAAGAGGAGACATCAATCTCTCGTAAACCAAGCAACAATCAAGCCATTACAACGATTCTAAGAAGCGAAGAGAGGATCATCTTCCTTAAATTGAGAGATGGAACCATCAACACACTATTGCGAATTGAGAGAACAAGAATAAAAGATCTATTATAAGTAGAATATTTCTTTATAGTTAGTTCATGAGTAAATATAAGAGAGCCATAGTGATCTAAGTAATAAATGAATTAAGAAGAAAGAGGATCATCGAAGCTAAAACTTCTTCAACCATGGATGAATAACAAGAAGATTGAGAGAAGAAAAAAATTGAAGAACCGAAGTGAAACCCTAAGAGATTTCAAGTTCTAATACCATGTTAACTTTTGTGATTGATTACTAGAGTCAAAGACACGAGAGGGGACGAATTTGGATGAAGATTACTTCACATATTGATTCTTTGAAAAAACAAAAAATGGTAATTGCCATACAATTTATACCAAAAAAAGTACTTAACTAAAGGATATTAAGTTAGTTAACTAACTAACTAATACACCTAATTAATCCACCTCATTCACAACTAACTCATAACTCACTAGTGACTTAACATGATACGTAATACAATTCCCATAACATTATTTTATATTCGATGCTTTCTTGACAAATCTTTTTCTTTTCATTTCTAATTACTTTTCTTTGATCGTACAAGGTTTATATATATATACGTGTGTGTGTGTATGTGTGTGTGATTCTGATATCATATCACCAACGAGATAAGATGAAGGTTACTTCAACTGGGATGGGAACAAATCATTGTCCAAATCTTCCGAATAACATTGGCGAAAACTAACCAATCAAAAAGTGCCACTAAATATTCATTTCTGTTGGAGTCTAATTAGATAAATAGCAAACAAGATTTAGAATTCTATCCATGCACTAACTATATTTAGAATATCCTAAAGACACGTATAGAAAAAGAGAGAAGATTTTAAAAAACTACCAAATTAAAAATTACCGAGTAATAATAGGTTTTTTTTACTTCAAAGATTGAGTTTTTTTTTTTTTTTGAACTAAAAAAAAAGGTTTTATAGTCTCAAATGAGCACACAAGACAAACACAAGAGATATTCAAAAAAAAAAAAAAAAAAAAAAAAAAAAAAAAAGTTAAAGCAAACAAAATCTTGATTACTTCAATACTACAAGAAAAAAGAGCTATCAATCTATATAATTTATTTCAGATCTAGTGGCGACCAGTAGCTCCACTAGCTTGTAAATCTTTTTTTCGGTTAAGGGATGTCATCTATAAAATCAGCTCTAATCTATAAAGATCGGTTGAATGAACTTTTAAAGAAAACTCTATAACAGTAAGAAAAAATATTAACCTTGAAAGGAAAGATCCATAATTAAAGGTATGAAAAGCAAATAAACTAAATATGAAAAATAAAAATATCAAATCTAAAGGCATGAACCTCAAATATGGGATTATTGAAAGAAACCATTGAAAAAATAAAGAAAAATTCTACGGCTAGCAATGGTTGCTAAAGAGAAAACTCAAGAAACTCTCAAAATTTAAAAAAGAGAGACAAAAACAAAAGATGTTTATGAGGAGATTTTAGTTAAATATATCGAAGTGGGTTTTTTACTTCACAATTGTTTACCTCGCATCCAATTTTATATATAATATATGATAAATAGATTTAGTAATATATTATAATAATAATTTACTCAAGCTGGCACCATGAAACTTTGCCCAAGTACGCAAATCAACTATTACATAGCAGTCATAAATATACATTGACTCGTGTTTTTTTGGTTTTTTCACAACATTAACATACCCAATTAACCTTGCAAGAAATAAAGAAAATATAAAAACAAAAAAAGTTTACACCCAACAAACATGGGAAGAGGAATCCAATACTTCGAACGTGTCGTTTCAATGCTCTTCACATGTTAACTCCACTGGATAGCAATAACATCCTCTAATTTTCTCCTAAGGCAGAATGGTTACCTAAACAGAAACATTGTGTTAGCTTTAGATCATTTTATGCACTGATAAATCAGTTTAACCATGGAAAAAGAAAAGAAAGGCAAAAGTGATAAATCATAATATATCAAACGCACTTGCATAACTTACCCGAAAGCACCAATCATAATATAGGATTTATACGAGCACTCTTAGTTCTACTTGTCTTCTGATACCGCTGTCCTTGAACCATCCTCACGAGCCATGCAGGTTTTCCTGTTCTAAACACAATGTATCCTATTGTGGTTCCAAACACAAATCTGCAACCATACCCCATTGCCACAGCTTTCCACCCAAATCCTTCTTCAAACAATGTTGAATGACCTCCTTTCATGCATGATGGAGCTAATGGCGGTGTCTTTCCACTGCTGCATTCTTTCGTAATAGAAAATCCACATAAACCCAAGTTTCCTTCAAATGAGCCTCGATCGAACGTGTTGAACTGTTTTCCTTCAGGTATGGGTCCTTCAAGTAGATTGTATGAAAGGTTTAAGACTTGAAGAAATGTTAGATCTGCCAATTGCCTAGGAATCCTCCCACTAAGCAAATTTGAGGATAGGTCTAACGATTCCAAATTGGTCAAAGTCCCCAATGAAGGCTGAATGTAACCTCTAAGGGACTTGTGAGAGAGGTTAAGCTGTTCAAATGCTTTAAGCTTTCTGATGGAATCTGGCAAGTCTCCTCTGAAATTGTTGTCTGACAAATCAATTGATGTGAGGGTACTTTGGATTTTCGAAAACTTGGTTGCCAACCCTTTCCATGTCATTCTTACAGAATAATTATAACCAGTGAAATTTGTCCCCCTCAAGTAAATCATATCTTCATCGAAGGTCATCATTGCTTCAAGACCAATGAAATACCTTGTTGGCAATGGGCCACTGAAATTATTGCCGGAGAGGTCAAAAATTCTTAATTTGGAGAAGGCATATTTGGTAGTAGGACCCTTCACGAATCCCTTTAGTCTATTGCTTCTTAGAACAAGAACCTTGAGCTCTTGAAGCATTTCAAGAAAGTAGGGGAATGCATCCGCTATCTTGTTGTTTCCAAGATCAAGGACTTTCAACTTTGTACAGTTGATGATGGATCGTGGTATGTTCCCTTCCAATTCGTTGTCGTTGAGGTTCAGGTATTCCAAGCTATTCCCCTCTGAAAATGTTGAAGGAATATTGCCTTCAAGATTGTTCATGCCTAGATTCAACTCTGAGAGGCTATTGCTAAAGTTTCCCAAACATTGTGGTACAAAACCACTTAAGCTGTTGTTGGACAAATCCAGGATTTGCAGGGATTTTAGATTGCAAACAGAAGATGAAATCTCTCCCCTCAATTTATTGATGGATGAAAGAACAAGAATGATCAAATTCTCTTGTTTGAAAATCGAACGTGGAATTCAGCCATGCAAGTGGGTATCGCCCAAATCAAGGTATAGCAATGAATTGTACAGCTGGAATTGACTTATATCTCCAGTGAATAGGTTATTATTCAAAAACAAAGTTTTTAAAGAAGGAAGAGCAAACAAAAAGGGAGGTATTGTTCCAGTGAGGAAGTTGCCATATAGGTATGCATGGATTAGATTTGAAAGCTTACTCATTTGAGAAGGGATGGAGCCTAGTAGTAGTTGATTATTTGTTACATCTAAAATTTCAAGTTTTGTCAAGTTAACAAAAGAATCTGGAATCTTACCAGCAAAATTATTGGTTCCAAGGTGCAATACAGTGAGCTGCTTAAGGTTTCCAAGTGATGATGGGATCTGACAGCACAAATAATTGCGTCTAAGGTCCAACACTATGAGCTATGTGAGATTGCCAAGTAGATTTAGATTTGACTATGTAATAATATTAGTGTCGCTGAGACACAAATGTTTCAACGACTTTAGATTATCGATCAAGTTGTTCACAAGAAAGAAAGAAATTCTCGTACGAGAAAGATCCAAGTAAGCAAGGGCACTACTCTCATTGGAGGAGCGAAACGAGCCAATGAGGCCTTCGTTACCGAACAAATAGATTGTTTCAAGGTTTGGTCGGAGAAAGATGTTACCAGGGAATTTCCCTTGCAATCCACAATTCATGAGTGAAAGAAATGACAAAGAAGACGACAAATTCATGAAGGAATTGGGTACAACCAATGACATGTTGATGCCACTCAAATCAAGTTCCCTTAGCTTCGTTAAGTTCTGTACGAGTTTGTGAAGGGAAATTGGTTCAAGTGTCAGATCAAGATTACCATTGAGATAAAGTGAAACCAATTTTGATAGATGGGAAATTTCTGATGGGACTCGGCCTGAAAAACCTGTGTTATGGAGGTTAAGATGTGTCAGATGTGGAAACTGGCCAAAACGAGATGAAAAATGGGAGTTATTGAAATGATTGTTAGAGAGGTCGAGCTTTTGAAGATGATGAAGGGAGAAGAGGGGACTCTTGGAATGGAGGGTGCCATAAAGCATGCTGCAAGCGAGGTCAAGCTCAATTACTTGCCCAGTTTTCTTGTCACACGTCACCCCATCCCATGAGCAGCAATCTGTACCCTCTTTCCATAGCTTTGTCTTGGGATGCCCACAAACCTCCCAAGAAGCAGAAGTATTAATGGAAAAGGAATCTTTGAATTGAATCAAAGCAAGACTCTGGTCATGAGAGCATAAATGTTGTGAGGAGAAGAAATTTGAAGAGAAAAGTAATGAGCTTGTCGTTTGAAAATGCAAGTGAAACAAAATGAAAGAGAGAAAAGACTGGCGGATCCATAGTAAACAACCCATGTCGATCTCTTTCAGGATTCCAAGAGGCGAAGGCTAAATCTGATAGTTGGGAGTGATGAGTAAAACACAAGATTGGCTCCACTATTTATAGAAAACTCGATTGTGCTGGCTATATTCAGAATCTGCATTAAAGAAAATGTGCAATAAAAAATTGCATTGCAATGACAATATATTTACAGACACGGTTTCTATCAACTTTCCCTCTTGATAGAAACAAAATCGGCCCTAAACAGAAAACCAAAAGCAGAACAGAAAACTTGGTTTGAAACCCACAGTCCTCGGTGCTCAAAATTCTATGGTCAACCATAACACGATACCATTGTCGAATAAATTAGTGATATAGGTCCTTCAACTAGGCTGAATGGGTGATGAAATATATAATCTAAACGTTCTTGCAGTAGCAATATTGAAAACCAAGGCAAAGTAAAAGTTGCAAAGCAAGGAATAAAAATTCAATGTTCTAAATTTTATAGTACTCATCTTTTGTCGGATTGAATACGCCTAGCCCAATCAAGTTGTTTATAAATAAGATTTTCTAGAGGAAAAAAACACAATCTGACCTTGACCTTATCCGAAAAAATGTTACTACTATTTTAGGTGTAAACACAAGGAAAATCAAATATTGAGGACTAATGTCTTCGTTTGTGCTTTTCCTTTACCCCCAACATCTTTGATTGTTCAATATTATTTAATCAGGGTGAATTATTATGATTGGATAATGATCTTTAAAAATTAATTAGCTCCGCAGACGATAGTTGCCGTATCAGATTAAGCGTGAAATGTTGATTTTGTCTATACTTTCCCTTACTCCAAAGTCTTTGCATGGTTGTTGAATGGGAGACAATATAAATCTAGGAAATACTAGATTTTTTATTCATGCTATATGGTAGATTGGATAAAATATATAAAATTATTTTAATTTAATATTCTATGTTATATTGTATATATATCAAAATATATCAAGTTAAAACTGAATAAAAATTCATTCAATTTTTTAATTTTTTAATCAAAATTTTATATTTGATTGATTATTCTTTATATTTTTTATTATTTTTTTATTAAATTTTTTTTTATTTATCTCTATCCACAAACTAAAAAATTTATAATAGTATTAAAAATTTCAAAATCAATGGATTTTTAGCTAAAAACTTATTTTGTAAATTATTTTTTCTAAACATTTTTTTTTTGCCTTAAAAATTTTAATTAAAAAAAATCAGATAAAAAAAAAGGATTAAAGTGATCAAAATGAAACAAAAAAGAGAGATCAAAATTAAATAAAAATATTTACAAATTAAAAAAATAATGTTTAAAAAAGAAGGACTAAAGTATAATGTTACGAAAACTTTTATGATAGATGTTTTTAAAATATTTAAAAACTATAAAAATGCTACCGAATAGTAAAAAGAATAATGCATTCGAGTCTTGGTGAATAGTGTGAATGAATTTAGATCAATAATGTTCCAAATAGTACAATGAATAGTAATCAATCATTTTATTTTAGTATTTTTTTTCAAGCAAACGACTCTCTCTCTCTAGGAGAGATGCTTGATTTATGAATTAAAACAACCACTATTGTTTTTCTTTTTCTTTTCAATATTAATTTAACATATTCATCCGTATTACTTTACTAAGCAGTAAAGCTAATAATATAAAACATGTGTTCCCAAATTAGGCATTTTCCGTAGTACTATAGAAATTTCAAAGCATTAAACTTATAATCTTATTTTTTTTTCCAAAAAAAATTTCTTTCTTTTAAAAACCATTTTTATTTTTTCAAAATAGCTGATATTTTTCAAAATTGCTAATTGGAAGGTTGAGACATTCAATAAAAATGTTTCTAAACTATGGAAAGATTTTGTAAGTAACTAATTAAAGTACGAGATTATGGTGCATTCTCTTTACACATTTGCATAAACAAAAGGCACCATATCATTACAAGAAACTAGGCGATTTGCGAGGAGATATTAGCTACGGTCTATAAATTGTCGCTAAATTACTAAAATTGTGATGATTATAAGCATTTTAGCGATGGTCTTGAAACCGTCTCTAAATTGATCATAAATGATCGTATTTAGCGACGGTTTTAAATAGATCGTCGCTAATTGACCAAACAATTAGCAATGATTTAGTAAACCATCGCTAATGGTGAGGTTTTTTCCCTCGCCCATAATTTGCGACGGTTTTTTGAAAAAAATTCGTCACAAATTGTTGGACATTAGCGACGATTTCGTCAATCATCGCTAATTAAAATTTTTCATTTTTTTCTATCGCTAGCTAATTTGTGACCATTATTTTTCCAAAAAAACCGTCGCAAAATGAGTAAATTAGCATTGGTTTTCAAACTGTCTCTAATTTTCAAACTATTGGAGGGAAATGACTTTTTTTCAATTTTTTGGGGCAATTGGCGACGGTTTATGGACCGTCACTAAAACTTTGAATCCTTAATATGCATTATGCGTAAAATTTTTCCCTAAAATTTTATTTTCTCCTCTCTTCTTCTCTTTCCTTCCAACGCCGATTTCCTTCCTTTTTTCCTTTAAATCTTCCCCTCTCGCTTTATTTTCCTTCCAATCTCGTCCTCTCTCTCCTCTCTCCCTTTCTCCCCTCCATCTCTTCCCCTTTCTTCCTCCTTTTTCCTTTTGCTTTCTCTCTTTCTCCCCCTTCCTCAACATCCCATATTCCGGCCAACCACTACACCGGCATAACTCCTCTATCGGCGTAGCCCTCTCTCCTCCTTGTTGGTGATAGGTCCTCCGTCATCTAACACCTCAATTAATTTTTTAATTTATTGCAATTATTTAGTTAATTTAATGTTATTTTTTTTGTTAGTCATTAATTTAGTTAATTTATTATTAATTGTGAGAGTAAATGTATTTTTAATTGGGAAAGTCCGGCACGAAAGCGGTATTTCAACTTCCTTTATCGGCTTAAGAGAAGCCCAAAGCCAACATTTATCTCACAGGACATATGGGATGCATGATGTACGGATTGAGCAAAACTTGAGGCCATTACCTAATTTGAGATGGCGACGCAAAACGAGCATGAGCGAGATTGGTGGCGTCGGAGCCGATCCTTCAAGACATATGGGGGGTCGATCAACCATAGAGAGCACGCAATACGCATGATGTATATGTTTGTGTGTGTACATATATATATATATATATATATATATATATATATATATATATATATATATATATATATATATATATATATTATTTTTATAGTGATTTCAATATAATTAATTAAAAATTTGAGTATATTTCATACATTTACGTATACTTGTTTCGAGTATGAGGTGTTAGGTCGTGAACATGATCCGTATGAGATTTTCTTGAGGAGTCATCGGAAAAAGGTTGATGATCAATACGTCTTCGTTGATTAACAATCAAGAGTTATCGAGTAAGTTATTAGTTTATAACGTCATTTTATGCATATTAATTTATAACGTTATTTCACATAGTTGTTTAATATTATATCTTTCACAATTATGCAAAAAATTATAGAAAAAATAATTGAAGAAGATTAAATGATGAAAGGGATGCGAGTGAAATAAGACGAGCTTCAAAACTTGGTAACGAGAGCGGTAGAGCACTATAGATAAGCTTTACTCTCGGTACGAGATGGTGGCCTCCTTAGTGATGAAGGCTGTCAAATACAATTAGGTTGCCTATAGATCCGTCAATCATTTAGGACTCCATCGTTCCTCCCACCTGACCTCCTATCAAGCCTCCTTTTAAGCCCCTCATCCGGTATCAAGAGGTGGATGGGGGATTAAACGAGTAGGATGAATGATAACACCTTTTGTTATTTTGTTTTTTTTGTTTTTTATCAAACATATTACTAAATGTTGTTCTTAATATTAATTTATATTTAATTTATACGTTATTACTTGTAATTATCAATTATTGCATACAATATTAATAATTTAAAAACAAACAAACAAACAAAAATGTAAAAAAATATATTTTTTGTCCAAAATTAATTAGCGACGGATTGTCCAAAAAAATCCTTGCTTATAGCGACGGAATGCCAACGAGATATCGACAACAATTAGCGATGAAATAGAGACGGTTTAGCGACGACTAAACTTAGCTTTGGATATTAGTGACGACATGTCGGTCATTATTCAACGACGGACTTAGCGATGGATTAACGATGTTAGTCATGATGGGTCTCACTACTAAAATAACGACGAATGCTTAAATTTTAGCGACGAAAATTTCGTCGTAGATATTGCGACATAAAGGATTTTTTCATCCTTAATTTTAGCGACAAGCGTTTTAGCAACGGACATATTTGCTGTCACTAAGCTATTTCGGTGACGGATTTTAGCCAACTTAGTAATGGAATAATCTGTTGCTAATTGTGCTTTTTTATTTGTAGTGTCAATCTCTTTTAGGATTCCAAAAGGTGAAGGCTAGATCTAATAATAAAAGAAAACCCCCAACAAGATTGGCCATTATTTATAGACAACTTGATTGTGCTAGCTATATTCAGAATATGCATTAAAGAAAAAGTGCAAAAAAAAAAAAAGAAAAAAATTGCTTTGCAATTACAATACATTTACAGACACGGTTTCCATCAACTTTCCCTTTTGATAAAAACAAAATCTGCAATAAACAAAGCACCAAAAACAGAATAGAAGACTTGGTTTGAATCCCAAAGTTCTCTCTGCACAAAAGTCTGTGGTCATCCTTTACACGATAGACATGCCGAATAAGTTAGTGATCTACCAGGAGTTAAAAAGTGTTCTTAAACTACGCATACGTTTAGGAAAAGATTAGTTTTGGAATGCTAAAAAATTCATCGAAAAACATCTTTATTCCTGAAAAAAAAATTAATAGTATAGGTCACATATACTTTAACTAGGCTGAGTGGGTGATGATATATATAATCTATCCGTTCTTGCAATGGCAATATTGAAAACCAAGGCAAAGGAAAAGTAAAGCAAGGAATAAAAACTCAATGCTCTAAATTTTATTATACTCATTTTTTGT